TATGAAATATATATATATATATATATATATATATATATATATATATATATATCTAAGCAAAAAAGGATCTTTTTCAATGGATATGGTTGAAATTCATTGAAAACATATACAGTCAAACCTTTCTATAATAGCAGTGTTTGTTCCGATATTTTTTGGATGCTATAGTGAAGTGTTGTTATAGAGGACATATATTATAACATAACATAAAAGATCGATTTCGAGAAAATTAAACTTGGCTTTTATAGTGAATGACTATTATATATGGATATTGTTATAGAGATATCTGACTGTAGACGAGTCAACATACAAAACTTGAGGAAGTTTGGAGGTGATTTGGACTGATTTGGTATCAAACTTCGTAGTTAAAATCGAGTTCAAAAAATTCTTCTGCGACACATGCATCACGCATGTATCTCACACTCAGGTATACATGTGATACACATTTGATATAAATATGATACATATATGATACACAAATGATACACAATGAGATACACATATCATATTTTTAATGTTCATCTTCTACTTCGAATTTTCAATTCAAACCACCTCAAAACTTCACCAAATCATCCCAAAACTGAGACTAAGCTCCTAAGATGTACCCAATCTACTGTAATAATATCTACTCAAAAGAAAGCAAAAATTTGACCTTTTTTAGTTACAAATAATTAATTGGCTAATATTTGTAGTATTTTATAAATCGGCCAATTTTTATAATAATCTACTAATTATAATTGAACATAGATGATAGTTTCTCACAAGAATAGTCCTATAAATTACCAAATTCTTAGCCAATATGCTAGCGCCTCCTAACATGAGAATGAAAAACACACATTTTTGCGCAACTAAAAACGTGGATAAGTGCAACTTTATAATTTGAGAAAAATAAGTACATTATTTTATTTGAGGAAAGTAAATATAATGGCCGCAATTATCAAATGCATCTGCGCTTTATCTTTTTGAATCCTCCAAAAACCCCAACATACGTACTATACCTTCCAAGTTCCATAAATCTTAAGATGTTTTTATAAAACCAGATAAAATGCAATAACCTTCCTTTATGTTCAAATATCTTGAACATTATTAATCCATGGCACATATATCTGTAACATCCTCTATTTTCTTTATAAAGTAATGCGTCTTATCACTCACTATCACGATTTTATGGAGATAAGCTCATAGGTCTCTTTCCTACATGTTTATTGCCTGTTATGGTTACTAGTACGTAAGTATACAGGTAAGGGTCCGGCCATTGTCGCCACTCAGTTCTATCTCAATTTATGTGATATAATTTTCTTATTAGTTTATTTTTAAAAAATACTTATATTTTAAAAATTATTTTATTTTAAATTTCTCATTTTATTACTATTGAGATGATATATAGTTACATAAATGTCTATACGCTATTTTAAATCATAGTTTTAATTTTTTTTTCTTAAACTATATGCGTTCAACGTGGACTCTTTTTTAGTTCAAACTTTTGAGTGATGTATTTAGCTTTAGCTTTTCAGTAAAGGCATGGTTTACGGGACAAACAAAATCTTATCCCATTTTCTGCTGTATCATTACCACTATCTAATACTAATAATACAGGGAAGCATACATAAGAAGCTTTTGAGTTGATGAATATATAGTCATATTGTTAATTTACATCTTATCCTTTTGATATTTGGTGCAAGGACGAGTCACAACAGATTTCTCATATGAAAATGCATCATCTCACTTTATCTCATTAATTTGTGAACAACTATTCCGAAAAAGATTTAGGGTTCCTATATGGCTACATCAGGGTGTGTTGGAAATTAAACCAAGATTAATTAGTATTCCTACGTCGTCTAGGATTTGGTATTTACTAGTTTATTTAGTTTATGTCTAATTAGGATTCACAACCAAAATTATGTAGGAATAGGTTTTCTAGATTCTAGTCAAATCTGATTTTATAATATTATAAATAGGGGTGTTACTACATATTTTTTATTGTGGAGAGGTAGCTATGATGTAGAGAGATTCAAGAGTTTATGAGTTGTGAAAAAGCCTCCTACCACATTCTCTCCCTAGTTTAATAAATTTCTTCTATATAGTCTTTGTTGAATTTTTTGCTTGTGCCTAAATTATTCTTGGGGTATTTCAATCCTTCAAATTGGTATCAGAGTCTGTGTGAGATTCTATCAGAGCCGGTAGGAGATCCAAAAAAAAATATGAATACCTTATTACCTAATTGTCCCGTTTTTGTGTTTGATGGCAAAAGTAATTTTGAAACTTGGTATCAAGAGATGAAGAATTTTTTTAAGGATATTGGATTATGGTCCATCATTGATGAAGGATTTGAGTAACTCCTAGAAGGCACAACGTTGACGGGTGATGCAGCTACGCAATTGGAGAAGAAAAGACATTTAGATTATAAGGCACGCTACTATCTCACCATTAAGGTCGAATTGCATGTATCTAAAAAAATATTTGCATGCAAAGTCAAAAAGGGAGGCTTGGACAATTTTGGTGAAATCATATCGAAAAATTACTAATATATATAAAGAAGAAGAAACTACAAGAGTGTAGGAGTCAATTTGAGTTTGCTCGTATGAGACCAACAGAGTTTATCAAAGAATTCTTTACAAGAATTGAAGAAATAGTCAATGGTCTAAGGACTAATGGAGAAGTATTGGAATAAGTTAAAGTTGTTAAAAAAATATTGCAATCTCTAAGTTTAAAGTTTCACAATAAAAAAGTTATTTTTGAGGCTACCAAAGATCTTAGCACATTCAGACTTGATGAGTTAAAAGGTGAATTGGTGACATACGAGATATCAATGAATCAACAAAAAGATGAGACATTGGAGGAGGCATCGCAAGAAAAGGATGATTAACCAAACGAAAAATAAGACAGACCAGATCTGGCAGAAATAAATCAAGAAGGCCAAAATTGAGAAATAGAGAAAATAAGAGAAGGTACTTGTAATTTTTGTTATGATAGAGATTCCATTGAAAGCGAAGAGAAGTCAAACAATAATCAAATTGATCTACCAAAAATTTCTGTGATTGTGAAAAAGGACGATTTGATTGCAAGAGATGCCCGTCCAAAAGAGGTTGGTGTTTCACCAGAAAAATTATTTGATAGTATTGAAGATGAACCTAGTAATCAAAGAAACAAGATGGTTCATTGAGAGAAAGTTTTATTGATCAATCCAAGATTAAGGCAGAAATAACTAGGGATTCAGAACCACAACAACATATGATTATAGATATTGAAGATGCAATCAATTTTGTGCCATTGTTCAAGATTGCATATTTCAAGAAGCATGACAAAATATTTATTGGCGGCATTACTCTACACCTTGTAGAATATTTAATTGGAGTTGAATGGGTGTACAAGTCCAACTACAAAGCAACTCGAGAAGTAGATGGTTTTAAAGCAAAGAAAAAATATGTTGATGATATTTTTAAGGGATTTACCATGGTTAAAGATAAATCATATATGGCCAATATTGAAGAGAAATTGATGTTAACTAAAGATGATACTCGCGACTTTGTTAATGCAATATATTTTAAGGAATTGGTGGAGAGTCTAAGGTACTTAACTTCTACAAGGCTTGATATTACTCATGACATGCTCAAGTTTGAATATCTTTGTGTAAGAGAGGCTGTTAGAAATTAAACCAAGATTAATTAGTATTCCTATGTCATCTAGAATTTGG